TTTGCTGACTGCACTTATGTGCTTAGAATTTGTGGGCTGTGCCAAGTAAATTGTAGCCAACTGAATCATAGCAGTGTTTTGATTGGATACAGGCAGCTCTAACAGTGTTGTGTGCAATCACATGCCCTTGCTTTATGTGTGTGTCACTTTAGTAATACTGATACCAAAACAATGACATATTCTGAAACCAGTGGAATCTGGCAACCCAACAAAACGCCTTTTGGGCCATACATAGAACCCTGATGTGGCCCTCGGGCCGCAGGTTGCCTCCCACTGCAATATAAGGCAGGCATAATTGTAGGAGATGCTGTTAGCAGGAAGAAAATCATTCCCTAAGAAATTTTCTATTCTGCAGCTCAGCATCTCCCACAATTCTGTAACGTAGGGGAAGTAGCAAGCAGTGAACACTAAGAAAGAAGGAAAAAAGAAAACAAGTGAGAGTTATAATGGGGGGCAGTAAGTGGAGCTGAGCCATACCTAGTTGGGAGCCAAACAGGGATGCCACCTCCAAGAGACAGAAAAAACAACCACTGTCCATCCCACACCAGCCTGCCATTCCCCTTCCCCTCTGAGCATACGCCCTCTCACCAATTTGCCTGTTCTATTCCTGTTCCAGGCACCCCTTCCCACCAGCCTGACACATTCCCAGGCTCATGAACTCCTATACCTAACCCTCCCAGTAGTTTCAGCCCAGAGAGCCTCAGCTTCCCTGCCCTAGTTCCTTTCCCTTCCCCTGCTAGCGAGCCTCAGCTGCTACATCTTCACATTGAGGGCCCCAGCATGCAGAGTGGGAGGCGTGTGCCATGCTGGCAACACTCCATCAGCCATGTGGAGTGGAGTGGAAGCAGCCTCTGGTGTCCCTGCAGCCACTGCTCCTGCAAGTTACGAGTGAAAAAACCCGGGCATATTGCAACCAGCAATGCAGGAAAAAAGTGGCCAGGCTAGTTAAAAACCAGCCAGCTGGCCAGGGGCCCACCTGAGAATGGGGTACACTGGATAAAGCAGGTTGGTTAACCTGGGCCTACTTGGGATAAGAATGCTGCAGTTGAAACTAGAGCCTCCATCTGAAATCTCTCTCTCTTTTTTAAAAATATATATACATTGTTGAGCTGATGAGTCCCAGAACTGCTCTAGACAATGCTGAATATGGAACATAGCTCTAAGAACCTTTCTTCTGAGGAAACCACTTCTATATTCAGAAGGGGTGAGATCCCTTTCAGCACCAGCTCATATCTGGATTACCTTATCCTCATCCGCTGAGTCACTGGAGAAGCCCCCCAACCTCCCGAGCCCCCCTTATCTGTCCTATGCCCCTAGGGTGCCAGGTCCACGTGGATGAAGAAAGGATGGGGTAGGACTGCTTGTTTAAGGGACTAAAACTCAATACACTCATCCACATATCCATGGCTGAGAAACCACTCTTTTGAGACGAGAGAGTTACCTTGTGCAGTAACGATGGTTCTTCGAGATGTGTCCCCCTGTGGGTACTCCACTCTGGGTGCTGGTGCATCCTCGTGCCAGCGATTGGAGATTTTTCTAGCAGTATCCACTGCACTGCACATGTGCTGTGGTGCCCCCTTGTGCTGTTAGATGCACGTGCAGCGCAGTCCCTCCATTCCTTCTCTACCCGTGCTAGTAGAGCATGGGGCTCCAAAGCAGGGGAAGGAGGGAGGGTAGTGGAGCACCCACAGGGGGACACATCTCAAAGAACCACCGTTACTGCACAAGGTGAGTAACTCTCTTTTCTTCGAGTACTGTCCCCGTGGGTACTCCACTCTGGATGACTATAAAGCAGTAGTCGGCTCGTGGAGGTGGGTTTGGAGCCCTGTTGTTGTCACAGAAGATAATACTGCTTGTCTGACAGCCATGGATGATGCTATGGAGGATGCCAGAGCATAATGTTGTGCTAACATGTGGTGTGATGACCAAGTGGCTGTGTTGCAAATTTCCTGGAGAGGTACATTTTTGAGGAAACTGGTTGTACAGGACATGGCCCTGGTGGATTGGGCAGTGATGGTGCCTGGTGGTTCTTTATTGTGAATGGTGTAGCATGTGTGGATGCATGAAGAGATCCACTTGGAGAGTCTCTGAGAAGAGACAGCCTATCCCTTAAATTGTTCTGCGAACGCTAGAAAGAGTTTAGGGGCTATGCACCAGAGTCTCGTATGATCAATGTAGAATGTGAGTGCTCTACGGATGTTGAGGGTGTGTCATGCTGCGGGAGGAATTTAGGGTGGGGCTGGAGTGTCATTCTTGTCCTTGCTGCAAATTGTCTGCTGTTAGGGCGGTGAGTTCCCCTACTCTTCTGCTGGAGGTTATTGACGGAACACGTAATTGAGGGCTTGCACGTCTCCCATTCGTGTTGGTCGTAGAACTTGTGGCTGAGGGCGTCTGCAGTAAGTGGCAACAGGAGTAATCTGGTGCGCAAGGCAACAATTCCATAGTTTGAGAGCTTCTGTACATAGGGACCAGGATCGTGCACCACCTTGCTGATTGATATAATACATGCGAGTGGTGTTATCTGTCATAATGTTGATAGTCTTGCGTTCTATGTGGTGTAGGAAATGCTGGCATGCATACCGCACTGCTCACAGTTCTAAAAGGTTGATATGGAGCGTTTGCTCTGTAAAGGACCACTTGCCTTGGGCTGTGATGGTTCCTAGATGGGCACCCCATCCCATGAGTGATGCATCATGGTAAGTGTAGGGGCAGCTGATGGAATGAAACTCCAGTTAAGACGTTGTGTAGATTTGTCCACCAGTGCAAGGAATTGAGGACCATGGCGGAATGGTAATTAATTTGGAGAGGGGTTCTCTGGATGTGGTGTAAAGTGTGGTGAGCCAAGACTAAAGGCACCTCATGTTGAGCCTCATCAGCTTGATGACGTAGGTTGTGGCGGCCATGTGGCCCAAGATTGTTCGGCATTCGCGAACTGTTGTGGTAAGGGTCACCTGTGCTACTGCTATGAGATTTCATAGGAGTTGAATCTGTGCGTGGGTAGAGTCACTTTGGCTTTGACAGTATTGATATGTGCTCCTATAAATCCTAACACCTGAGTAGGATGGAGCGTGGATTTCTCTTTGTTTATATGGAAGACAAGGCAGAGCAGGAGGTTCATGGTAGTCTCAATCACATCCCTTGTCTCTTGAAAGGATGTGCCTTTTATGAGGCAGTCGTCTAAGTATGGAAACATTGACTCCCTGACAAAGTAGGCATGCTGCTACGACTGGTAGAGTTTTGGAAAACACTCTGAGAGCCATTAAAAGGCCAAAAGGGAGCACTCGGTATTGGTAATGGTAACGGCCAACTGTGAATCATAGAAAATGCCTGTGGATGGGATGGATTGTTACATGGAAATACGCATCTTGAAGGTCGAGAGCCGAAAGCCAATCTCCTTGATCTAATGCTGGAATTATTGTTGCTAGGGTCACTATCTTGAATTTTTGGTAAGCAATGTATTTGTTGAGCTTCCTTAAATCCAGAATGGGCCTCCATTCTTTTTGTGTTAGAAAATAAGTTGAGTAGAACCCTCGGCCATGGAACTCTGCTGGTACCGGTTCTATGGCACCTAAGTGGAGGAGGTGAAGCACCTCTTGCTTGAGGAAGGTCTTGTGAGAAGGGTCCCTGAAGAGAGATGGGGTGGGAGGATGGATAGGGGGATGAGAAATGAAAGGGACGGAGTAACCATGATGGATGAGCTCTAGGACCCATGTGTCCAATGTTATGTGAGCCCACTGTTGAAAAAAAGAGGCAGAGGCGATGGTTGAACTATGGATAAGTGCTCGATGGTGTGACCCCAAGAAAAGTGTCTTTCTGGCCCCTGACCAAATTTTCACATTTGCTGCTTGGATGTGGAAGGTCGGGCCACTGTTGTTTGATGGTGTTGGCATTGAGGCCTACGTCACTGCGGCCTTTGTTTCTGTCAGAAGTCATACTATGGTTGCTGTCTGTATGGCTCCTTGGTAGTTAGTGTATCTTGCTCTCTTCAATGGGGATATGTGCATCCCCAGGGTTCTTAGGTGGTAAAGGAGTCCTTCATTGAATGAAGTACTTCATCGGTTTTTGCAGCAAAGAGATTGGTCTTATCAAAGGGTAGGTCTTCGACCGTCTACTGCAAATCCCTTGGAACCTCTGATGCTTGGAGCCAGGATATTCTCCGCATCATGAAAGCTGATGCGTGCAGCTGTCTGTTACATCCATTGCGGACTGTAGTGCAGTGTGAGAAATTGTATGGCCCTCTTGCATAATGTTGAGGAGGATAGGCCTCTTGTGTTCTGGTAAGTATTGTATAAGATCTTGAAGCTTGGAGTAATTAGAATAGTCATAATCCGCTAGCATGACGGTATAAATTGCTGCTCTAAGGAGCAGGGTGGCTGAGGAGTATACTTTACAACCGATAATGTTCATTTTTTTGTGGTCCTTATCCTGTGCTCTTGATCTAATATTGGGATGTCTGGCTCTGTCTAAATTGAAATTGACTACCAGGGAGTTTGATGGAGGGTGAGTGAAAAGGAAGTCTATTCCCTTTGGTGTGATAAAGTATTTTTGGTCCGCTTTTTTGTTGGTAGGAGTGATGGATGCCAGGGTCTGCCAAATGTTGTCTGCTGGGTCCATAATAGCTTCATCCATGGGCAGGATGATCCTGTAGGAGGCAGGTTGCAAGGTTCGCAAGAGGTAATACGGTTTTTCCTGAACTTCCTGTAAATCTCACTCTTGTGCTAACACTCCCATGATTGCCATTGCCTGGGGTAAAAGGGCAGTGGGTAAGCGTAAAGACGCGCATACCATGGTGGTCATGGTGGCAGATATGCATATGTAATAGGCCCAGTGGCTCAGTGCCAGCTTCACTTGGGGAGTGAGACACATTGGGTGACACTGCTAGAAAAATCTCCGATCGCCGGCACGTGGACGCACCAGCACCTAGAGTGGAGCACCCATAGAGGCACTACTCGAAGAAGTGGAATATTCTGCCTCCTGTAAGCAAATCGGGCCTGAAGCATAGTACATCATAGTGAGAGGTATTGTGGCCACCTCAGGTTTTGCTGCTTGATCCACACTTTCAGCGTTTTCCTCTGATGTACCTGCCCTCTTCCCTTTGGTACTTCTGCTTGTAGTCCTTTCTTGACGCCCCTATGGAGCAGGGTGGAACTACTTCAGCTGGGATGTGCATTCTGGGATGTGCATTCTGTCATTACCTTATCCATTTTTTCCAAAGAGGAAAGAGTCTGTGAATTTGAACGAGCATTGGATTAGCTGGGAGTAGGCAACTGCATTGCAGGGGTAAAACCAGATGTGGCAGTTGGTTGCTGAACTGGATGCAGGGTCCCTGACTCAAACTCTCATTGCATCTATTGAGGCATCTGCAGTTAAAGCTATAGGTAGGGATATTTTCTTAGGGTCAGATTTGAGTCTGGATGGTCAGGTCCTTGTCATCCAGACCCATTAGGTCACTTTGCCAAGCCACTATAGCTCTTGCCAATCAGGTAACAGACACGGATGCTTTGATTGTGGCTAAGGAAGCCTCAAAATCCCTCCTGAGTGTGTTCATTACCTTTCTGTCTGTTGTAACTTTGGAGGGAAAATCCCTTTCTGGTGGGCTTGTCATATCTTTCATTAATGATGCCACCTCAGCATCCACTTCAGTAGTTCTGAGATGGCATTTTTTGGATTCTGCATCTTATACTATCCAAGTGAGTGGCTGCTTTATATGTTTACCCTTGTCAGAGTACTCCTATTCCACCCTAAATGCATAAAGAAAGAATGCAGCAGAACTGCTGTTTCAAGTTGGGATTTGCCTTTTGGCATCTCATCTAATACCTTACCAGTTTGAATCTGTGTAGTAGATGCCATTTTTTATTTTTGTACATGTTATCAAATCTTTTTGCTGTTTTTTATTCTTATCCTGCTCACAGTCTGACTCAATAAGAAGAGGAGGAGTCCACCTTAGAGGATGAAATCTTAGATCTTTTTTCTTTCCCATTTTGTGCTTCCCGTGAATTTTTGGCTCTTCCTCCTGAGTTTGCAGAGGTCCCTGCATGACAGTGTCCTGGGGGTGGTCTCTGTGTTCTCCTCTATGTCCCAGCCCCATAATGTGAAGGTGTGGTCTCTTCATAAGAATCCCCCCAATTCATCCTAGGGAGAAGGGGAGCAGTGTAGGAGTGCTGCTTCTCTGTCCACTGAGTTGAGAACCAACTTCAGAATCTTGAGAGAAGGAAGGAATGACTAGATCTCTTATGAGGCTCTTCTTCCATCCCAGGACTTACCCTGGGCTGACTGTAAAATGTCTTTTTTACCTCTAGACTTTCTCCCCAACATGCTCAGAGCTCCTGATCAGGCTTCTCTGTGGTGGAACTGTAACTCCCCAAGCAAGAGGGGACATGCCACGCCAACTCTGAGCTCTCTGCTCTGGCCATGCTGGCTGTAAGCAAGAAGGGCCTGCAATGTTGCCTCATATGCCGAACACCCCTTTATGTAGTCTGGTGTTTGCAGGACAGCTCTTCCATTGCCTGAGGGAAAGTAGTCCCACCTGGAAGGTGCTGAAGCAATAGATTTGGGTAGCTAAGACCACCATACTTCTAATTACCCAATCCAGGAGAAGGAAGAGGACAGATAAGTTGCTCACTATTGCCCAAACAACTAATTAAAAGTATGGATTGCAAATGGTCAGGAGCAAAGCACACCAGCCAGTGTTCTGGCAGGAAGCTTGAGAATGGGACATGGCCTGGACAAGTTTCACTGCAGCTTCACTACAACAGTGAGCCACTCCCAGAACTGTAGAGAGGAGGGGAATAGCCCATATGTCACAGAAAATGAAAGCTCTTCTGAGATGACAGTCTCTTTAAAAGGAGGTGGCTGTTTGACCCTGCTCCTTTAGGCTAAAATGAACAGGATGGTTAAATGGCCGTGACAGACAGAAAATGAACACTGCCTTCAGGACTGGTTCAAGAGCACATTGGGAAAAGGACATCTAGTGGAAGAATCACTGTCATCACCCTTTTCCCAGCCAGCAGAAGATCCCAGAAGCTAGAAAGGCCTGCAAACTTCCAGGCCTGCTAAGACTTATGCAGATGTACAATTTTAAGCACAAGTAATCTTGGTGTATTCAATGGACTCATTGCATAAGTGTTTGCAGGGTCAGGGTCTGTACCAACTATATCATCCTAGAAGGGGACTAACTTTTTATTCCATGTGATGGGAGAAAACTGGAGAACTCTATATGACATGCATAATGCAAACAACTTATACACTCATTTTGTTCAAGAGTGCATGTGCAAAAATTTTCCCTCTGGGAAGGTCTACAATAATCCTGTAACTGTAGCTCTTGATCAAGACACTATCAGGATATTAGGTAAAAAATGTCATGTGTAACTCCATAGAAAATATACTACGTATATTTTACTAGCTCATATTTTTCCCAAAGGACTGAATCTCAGGCTTTTCAGCCAAAGAACACAAAGATAATGAAATCAGTGGATTGCTAGCCAGCGTGCTTTAACCAAAAAAGTAAAATGAAAAACCAAATAATAATAATAATAATTTCCTTAACTATATGAACCCTGCCAGATGTTAAGTGAGAAGAGAAGGGGAGCAGAGGAGAAATGAGCAAAACTCTAGTCTGTTTAATGGAGATATGTAAAAAACTAAGCAGACTCAACCCCCTTTTTCATTGCTTAATTTCTGGTCTGTATCTGCTGGTAAGAAGACTTAGGACGATGTTAGAAGAATGATTTTCAACAACTCCATTATTAGTCAGTGCTGTTAAAATTCAATTTAAAGTTGTCTGGGTATTTCTTTGATTCTCAACACTATGGTAACAGTGTCTATTGAGAAGAAATCAGCATTTGCCCCATTATCTCATGCCTATCAGAAAGGAACTTATGGGGCAACAGAAGAAATTGTTTCTTAGATGTTGAGCTTGGTATATAAGTTTGATCTGACAGAGAGCTACCTTAATGAAAACAAGAGTAAGAGATTTTAAAATATATATGAAAATAAACAAAAAAATTCCTATCTCTAATTTAGATCAACTATACACAAATAGGTATCAAACACCACATCACACAGAAAGGACCTGAAAAGAGGAAGGTTCCTAGAGAAAAGGGAGGAATTAGGAACATCACTGGAGGTGTCACTACTTATATCTTTGGCATGGGGCAGGCAGAAACAATGGGTCTGTTCTTGCCCCTTCTGCTGACTGTTTCTAATAATTCTTTTCTAATTTTAGAGAGTAACCTTGCCACAAATGGTCATCTATATTTTGGGCATTAATACACCTTTGGCCAAATCCTCAAATGATGTAAGCTGGTACTGTTCCAGGGAAATCAATGGTGCTACAGTGATTTACACCAACTGATAATTTAGTCCTTTCTTCGTACAATCTAATCATTTTTGCTTTTGATGCTTTCTCTGAGTTTCATAAATAATCTTGCCTGATTATAACTATTGTCACTGGTCCAATCTGCCCTGATTGCTTTAAGGATTTAAGAGACTGTTAAAAGTAGAGCTCATTAGTTCAAGGAATGAATCTTTTCTCATCTTCAGCTCATGAAAGAGAACTGTAGATTTGGAAAAAAAAAAAAAGCAGGCATAAGGCAATATCATGAAAATCCAATAAAGAATTACATTACTTTAATCCTCTTATAGTGGGTGCCAGTTTTTTCTACATAAGATTTGTCACTGGAAATGGATGTAACAACCCTGCAAGGGCCAAAGAGATAAAGAACAGAAAACTCACATTGATGGTCTTTCTTTCCCATACAATTGCACTCAAGGAGGTCATGGGTAACACAGTTGGAATCTTCATGTAGTATAAAAAGATTTCTAAGTTCCTCAGTGGAAAAACGGATGTGTTCGGATGTCTTGGAAAGGTCTATGACTGCCCCAGAAAGACCTTGCTTGCTGATCTGTCTCTGATAGATCTTTTCTTCTATTGAGCCTGCATTGAAAAATAGCAGATACATAAGATTAATTTTAGACAAGTATTCTAAAGGTGGATTCTAGTTATTTGATAACTGCACAGTTGGAAATGCTGGAGCATTACCTTCAGTTACTAAAAGAATAACCAGAGAGCAAAACAAAGGCACGTGTTTATGCCTTTTGCAACTATGAGAGGTGTTTATCTTCAGTGACTAAGTCTTATGCAAATGCTTTCAAATTACAAATTTATTTCCACAACTTCCCCATCATCATCTTATGCTTGTCAAGATTTGCCTCCCTCTAGGCAATGTTAGAGTAATGTTTACATTTATAATATTTCTGACCTGTAGTTAGCAGTCTGTAAATATGCACAGTGTGTTTCTGACCATCTCTCCACACCCTGGCCATTGCCTAAAGAAAATAAAAAGGCAAAGATGTTATTTCAATCTCATTACACAAAAAACATTAGCTAAAACATTTACTCTTTTTAAATCAAATTCTTAGCACTTGCTAGCTCTTTAAAGGGATGCTATCAAAATATTGTCTTAATCTGTGTTACTATTAAAGAGTATTATTAAAACTGAAATATTATTAAAATCTAATTTGCTTCTACCATTTATTTCCACCCTGCTTAGATTACCACATGAAAATTGACTAGTCCATTTCATTTCTGTATAGGCCTAGTTTCACTTGTGGTTTTCAGGTATTAGTGTGACTGTGTTGGATTTAGGTTTTTAACACAGGATAGGAGTACTTAAATTTTTCACCCCAAAATGCTTTTTTTCAAAATGTATAAAAACCACGAAAACCTGTATATTATGATTGGGGTTGGAAAACCAGCTTTTGCACAAAACCTTTACATCTTAAAAAAATTACTTGACATTGTTCATTTGGCTGAACAATTTAACGTTACAAGTACATATTCTGCATATGTGCACACAACACAAATGTGAGTAGTTAGCAGGCTGCAACTGTGGCTGATTTTACTAGACTATTTCAAGCAATATGACAAATGGCCACATGATGGCATTGCTGAAGATCAGGAACAAGAACAAAGCAGGGTGCCTCTGGGCTCCACTCAGGTGACAGGCAATTATACTGTACAATCTGAGGCAATTTATTGAAATTGTAAGAAAACTTTTTAAATGCCTTTTAAAAATATTTTATCCAGGCACATTTATGCTTGATGAAATACTACCTACAGAGGCACTGTAATCATTATAAGCATAGCAGTAACTGCTTTTTTCTTGTAACATCTGCTGACATTTGATTATGTCCCTTTCATCAAGCTGCTTGGTACCCTGCCCTTAGCTGAGATAGAGCTCAGCTCCTTCCTCATCAGCATACATCACACAGAATGGTCATCAGTTTTAATTTCATTTTCTTTTGGGAAACATAAGAAAACTATTCTACTAGAAAATCAGTCAATGGAGAGCTAGGCCAGATGCGAGACCCCTCCAGGGGAGCCCAAGATGTATTCCCCTACACTTTTATGCTCCTCCTTTATCCCAATCAACTGTTCTAATTTAATTTTATTCTGAATATTCAAATTGGAGATAAGCATCTCCTGGCTAAATGTCACAATTCAAAAAGAGACCCAAAAGCTGATTAATATGGATTACAAAATTTTGTGGAAATCCTGCAGATATGGTTCTAATATGGAGATGAAGCTAATTTAAACAATTTGCCAGAAAATTTTTCCTTCCTTTCCCCCCCATAATTACATCTAGATGCAATCTGGGCAATATTCAATCATGGGCCAGTGAGAGGTTTAAGGTCCAATACTTTAGAATCAATCTCCTCATCAATTAAAAAAATATTTAGTCCACATCCCAACCCTTATGTAACAACTATATCAAACCTGAATATCTGTGGCTGGATTCCAGTCAATATCATACAGAATTAAATGAGATGCTCCTATAAGGTTCAGACCTACACCACCAGCTTTTGAACTCAGCAAAAAGATAAACGTTGAACAGAATTTATTATTAAAACTATCCACAATCTGTTGCCTCTGGGAGATAGGAGTGTGTCCATCAAGTCTTGTATAAGAGTATCCATAATGTTTGCACAAGTCTTGCAAAATATTCAGTGTCTGGGTGTAATGAGATACCAAGACAATTCTGTCAGAGAAATAAAGAAATTATTATGTTGTGCACAAGTAGTTGAATTTAATGAAGCAATATTATATTTATTTATTGCAGGCAACTGAAGAAATCAAATCAGAACTCAGACCAAAATTACACATCAGCCTGATTTTACTCACCTCTCTTGAAAAGTGAAGTATTTGGCATTTCAAATAAAAATACGTCATATCTACTGTGAAGAATTCAAATAAACTATTATTTTTTAAAAGATTTTGCTTTATTGTACAAACAGGACCAACCACAGAGATAGGATTCTAACATTTCTACTTACATTTATTTACACGTAATTTGTGTATCTGAGAAGGATGTTAACTAATGTCTAAGACTCCACCAAAAGAAAAAGCTACTGTGAGGGGTACCACCACACAATAAGAAGGATTTCTGAGAATGGGTAGAATTACAGGTGGGCTAACTGGTTGGCATTTATCTGAATACAATTCCTCCTCCCCAAGATGGGATTTTGAATCAAATGGGATGAAAGGAGGGAAAAGGACTTTGCAAATATTGCTGATAATTTTGGTAAACTTGGTCTCCCGAGCTCCAAGCTACTCACAGTTACTGCTACTACTTCAATGTTTTTATCTGATACACTTATAACTGCAAATTGCTTTGATTCAGAGATATCCAAACTTCCCCTTTAATCTCAGAGGAAGATTATATTGAATGAGGGGAAAGTGATCAGGAATAGTCAACATGGATTCACCAAGGGCAAGTCATACCTGACCAATCTGATTAGCTTCCACAATGAGGTAACTGGCTCTGTGGATGGGAAGTCAGTGGATATGATATACCTTGACTTTAGCAAAGCTTTTGATACAGTCTCCCACAATATACTTGCCAGCAAGTTAAGGAAGTATGGATTGGATAAATGGACTGTAAAGTGGATAAAAAGCTGGCTAGATTGTCAGGCCCAACAGCTCGATGTCTGGTTAGTGATTGATTTCAAGTGAAATGTCCCAAGGATAAGTTCTAGGTCCGGTTTTGTTCAATATCTTTAGTAATGACCTGGATGAGGGGATGGATTGCACCCTCAGAAAGTTTGTGGATGACACTAAGCTAGGGGGAGAGGAAGATATGTTGGAGGGTAGGGATAGGGTCAAGAGTGACCTAGACAAATTGGAGAATTGGGCCAAAAGAAATCTGATGAGGTTCAACAAGGACGAGTGCAGAGTCCTGTACTTGGGACAGAAGAATCCCAAGCATCATTACAGGCTGGGGACTGACAGGCTAAATAGCAATTTAGCAGAAAAGGACCTGGGGATTACAGTGGATGAGAAGCTGGATATGAGTCAACAGTGTGTCCTTGTAGCCAAGAAGGCTAATGGCATATTGGGGTGCATTAGGAGAAGCATTTCCAGCAGATTTAGAGAAGTTATTATTTCTCTTTTTTCAGCACTGGTGAGGCCACATCTGGAGTTCTGGGGCCCCCATATAGAAAGGATGTGGATGCATTGCATAGTGTCCAGTGGAGGGCAACCAAATGATTAGGAGGGCAGAGCCGAGACTTAAAAACCTCTAGGGATGGAGATTCCACTACCTCGCTAGGTAACCCATTCCAGTACTTCACTACCCTCCTCGTGAAATAGTTTTTCCTAATATCCAACCTAGACCTCCCCCACTGCAACTTGAGACATTTGCTCCTTGTTCTGCCATCCATCTTTCCTCCCCAGATTTCAGACCACAACATGGCCAGGAACAGCCTTTCAGCACTGTGTGGGAGGGAAGGAGGGATGTGAATACTTAACTGGTGGGCTGGAACAGTCTTCTACCAAGCTCCAGCCCTGCAGGGTCCACCGTGTGTAGAGGGATGGAGAGGCGGCACTTACGTGCAGCTGGAGCAGCCCCTGCCCACAATGGGCCCAGCCTGGCTTGAGCACCCACCTCCCCCGCCCACCCCGTTTAATTGATTAACAGATTAACCAGGATTTTACATCCCTAGAGGGAAGGAGCTACTTCCAGCTGCAAGGGAGTTGGCTGGAGGGGGGAGATAATCTGGCACAGTTCATCTCTTATCCCCCACCACCACTCCCATGCCACTGGAAGCAGCCTTTTCTTTCCTCCTACCCACACAGCGTCAAAAGGCAGCTAACATGTCCAGGCTGCTGCTGGCCACCAACATAATCCAGCTACTTCCTATCCCCTGGCTACAGTGCAGGCAGGAAGGGATTAAGTCTTAAGGATGCATTGTGCAACAGGACCCTGGGAACCTGACTACAGTGAACTAAGCCAGAGAGGTGGCCCAGCAGAGATGGATGCCTAGGGGATGGAGTAGCCCTGCACTCCCTGGGATCAGGATCCAGGGCTGGGGGGAAGGGGTAAAGAGAGAGCTAACCCCCTGCCCTGGGGGCTTCTGTGGAGCCAGCAGGTTCAGGATGTGGACAGGTTGAAAATAGTGCCCTCTCCCTCACACCACTCCACAACTTAACTGAGGAGTGAAGAGGCTTCCCCCAAAACCTCTTGTGTGGGGCTTTGTCATATGTAGACTTGGGCTCTTCTTGGCCAGTGCCCTGGACTATGGATTTGGGGCTTTCCTGGGGGCACTGGCTGAGCCAGTGGCAGTGTGGGAAGGAAGGAGCTGGCTGGCCAAGCTGTTGGTGAGCTTAGTGTTCTAATCAGGAGCTAGCTCTCCATGCAGCGCTGGGAGTAGAACATACCCCTCTGGGAAGGGGGAGGGGGGAAGGAGGTGGTAGGTTATGGAAGAGCAGTGGAACTGGGGGCCAGGTTTGAAGGAGCAAAGCAGCAGAGGACAGTGAGAGGGAAGCATATAAGGGGCCGAAGGGTGAGTAGTAGAGGTCCCCCAGCCACTGGAGTCAGTGCCAGCTAAAAACAGGATGGAGCTCTGCAGGCTGACACACAGCACACAGTGTGGGTTGCACTGATGGACCAGCAGGGGAAGCAGCCAGCCCCGTGCATTCCATCTTTTCTCCATCGCCAGTCTTGCACACCCATCCCCACTGTTAGCCACTAGACACACCCACGCACATGCTCATTGCTGGTTGGCATGCCTCTGGTGAGCAGAGATTCAGCCAGGACCAAGTCCTGCTAGTAACGATGGAGTGGAGGAGATGAGAAAATACAAGACAATTTCCCCATTTTTATGAAAAAATTGAGACTCCTGCAGGAGGACTTAAATATGGGACAGCCCTTTTAAAAATGGGACACCTGGTCACCTAACTGAATGAGGTTTCACAAAGTAATGCCTCAGCACGAGCTGTAAATCAGTGGGTTTCAAACTTTTTAGACTGCACACTCCTTTTCAAATAATGTAGTCTACTGTGAATCTCCATCTCAGACAGGCAGAGACAACATGACCCCCGGGGGACATAGAAGAACATTTAGGGGGCAAGCAGCAAGGCCAGATGACTTGGGCCAGCACTACATGGTGGAGCTCAGGGAGGGAGAGCCACCTCTACCCACAACTCACCTCAGTGGGTCATCAACGTGTCTGGGTGTGACACTGGGACTGAATTCACTCGTGTAGTCCCTGTATTCACTCTGTTTGCTTTGTTGTGTTGTATGTGATTCTACTGTCCTGTAGTAACTCTGTGTGTGTGTGTGTGTGTGGGCACGCGCGAGCCTCAGCTTCTCTGGGCACTGCAATACTATCTGGATGAGGAGGGGAAGGCTGGGTGCGACTTACTGTGTCAAGCATGTCAGTCTCTAACGTCCTGAGAACCAGGTGATAACAGATAATGCCTTGGGACTGGGAAGCAGAACAAAGTTGTTGGCGGGGCAGCCTAGAGGGCTGAGCCCAGTTGCTGGGTGTGTGAGTTTAGTTTTTCAGCTGGCTTAGGGAGAACAGAGTCTAGCTGGCTTGGAGGGATGGGCAAGGGCCCAGAGCACTGGCTCTGGCCCCCTAACCCCAAAATGGAGTGTAATGAATGCTCATGGTTTCTGTAACAACAAGTCTGTGCTACACTGTGTCCCTATCAACAAATAAACCTTCTGTTCTACTTGCTGGCTGAGAGTCACATCTGGCTGCCGATAAGGGTGCAGGGCCTGGTGTCTCCCCCATACTCCATGTCACTGGGTTAAGAGTGTGCAACCAAAAACTATAACTCAATATGGGGGCTCAGCTAAAAAGGTCTGAAAATAGTGGGTGGAGGTGGCACTTCCTGTTCAAACCCTGCTGCATGGGGCTGATGCCCAGGCTGCCTAGCATTGCTGCTTGCCCCCATGAACATTTCTCTATGCTCCCTTAGAAGGGCATGCCCCACAGTTTGAAAACCTCTGCTGTATTTTAACTGT